ACCTGCCCAGCAGTAACATCAACATATGCTAATGTACAATGTCAATTCACTCTCCCTTCTATGGGTAGTCAGTTGATTAGTTAAGTGGGAATTCCGGCATGTTTTTTTTTCAAAGCGAGTGTTGATGATTGTTATTTATATACATAGCGACCGAATAATGAACATTTCCGTAAACTCGAAACTCAAGTGAAAAAGTGCATGCTATACGCAATGTGGCAGTGCCTCGTGGATATTCCCGGAATAACTGTGCCGGAAATTAGAATCGAAAGTGGTTTGAACTGCTCGGTATTTCTGTTTATATTTGGATTCTATGCCACTTTATTCCCCACTGTATATTGCTATCTATAAATTAGGACAGCTCTGTCCCTACTTAAACCATACTGTTGGGTGAATAAAATAATACCTCATGTTCAATCTCATCGTCATAAAAATGATTTCACACGAAAATACAACGAAATATTATAATAATATAATTAGATTTCAATTGGATAATACATTAAAAAAGATATTAGAAAATACATGACTGGATATTCACTGAAGTTGAACTATGGTTTCGATGAATTAGAGACAGCACGTACACACATATAATCATGGAGGGTGGTTGATGAAACATGCATTTTATAATAGCGAGGGTGGGTACAGATCAAAGAAGCTCAGTGGACCATAACATACACACACGTCATAATATGAGAGCACAAATATAGATACATAACACGCTGGGCGAGATTTTCTTTAAATTATAATCACATATGCCTCCCACGTCACCAGAGAATATCCCACGGCGTTTGGTCATAAAGATACACTGAGAGGCTATACAGTCTGATTTGTGTGTGAATAATTATAACCACATGAATAACTGTGTCATACGCACTTCGCGACGTGAGAGATTATACGATGATAACCGATGCAACTCTACTATTTCCAATAATATATAACTTTAAAAATAGATGTGTTTAAAATATAACTCGTATATATGTATACAATGTTACGTGTCTCGCTAAAATATGTAAATGCTAAATGGATTTGATATCTGTATTTGTATAAAATAATACGCTTGAATATAAATTATCATATCTTGTAAATAAACAGGTAATATAAATGGCAATTACAGTGTATTTTGGGGGTTTGGTGCATTCTCGTGTCATTTCTAATTATGATGTTAATGTGTAGGATACAACATCATAAATGTGCAACTGAGCAAAACGTAAATGCCAAGTAGCAATAAAATAATATACAACATGGGTAATTATCGAGTATGTGTTGCAGATAAAAATCCATTCGATTGATTGTGACATTTGTGTGAAAACACGTGTATACAAACATTTTCTTTGTTTTCGACGTGTAAGACGTGAGGTGTGGATTAAAGAGTATCTTTGACATTCATTGGAAGTGATATTGACCTTGAAGTACTTTATAAGCCCTCACAACCAATTAGTATGGTACATTTAAAAAGCTTCCCTTATACAAACCAACATGTTTGTATTACATTTTACCGCTACTTGCAGCGAATTACCGTGCCTTGCACAGTTCAGTCAGTCAAGCTTGTTACCGACCTTAGCTGTGATATTAGCCATGAGTGACCTTCATGTTAAGATTAATTTGTCACTGTTGCTGGGAGAATGTAAATATCTCATTTCATAGTGATATGAATGTAAAAAAAGTACCCAACTGATTAGGCAAATACAGACATGTGGATACGTTGTTTCGGCGCGTAGTAAATGCTTTTGTTTTTGCAGTGCGTACAACGTACCGTGGTTTCTATTCTACGGTGCATATAGCATTGATTTAACGTGTCAGTCCATAGCGCAGACATTGTTTTCCTGTTGAAGAAAATACTATGTTGCAGTGCATACTAGACGCTCTTTCAACTGTAACTGCTCACACAGCAGACCATGATTTTGTAAACAAACAAAACAATACTTGAATATAGTGGAATTAATTGCAAATTTCGAAAACTCCAGCCGCAAATTAGATGTTTCAATTGAGAAAATAAATTCAGTCGACATTAGTATTCAGTCAACATTGTAATTAATGTCCAAATGTTGCAAGTTATTGGTTCGTACATTTGAACAAATATGATAGAGGTCCGCCATATCACTACTATAGATAAGAGTCTCGTACAAGAAGTAATTTTTCTTAGTTTTCAGTTTGTGCGTTCATGATAAAAAAAAACTATTACTTTTGACGTTTATCTTTTAAATCTATATAATGACGATTTATTTTGGGCTGTACATTAGTTAAGTTCTCGCAAGAAAAAATAAACACAAATGTCCCTCCAGTTGAACCTGATTACCTCAAAATCTAAAAATGGCAGATTCCGAGTCAAATGTTGAGTATCAAATTTTATATAGAGACATAATACATTGCTGATATGATGCTGTCAATGGTATAACTTGTATAGGCTATCGGAGCCCATTAAAGCTGAATGCAAATATCAACTGAGAAATAAAATGTATCACAAAAGGTCGCACATCTGGTGAAGCCTTCTCAATTCAAACAGTCGATACTTATTTTAGCCGTTGGGATAAAGGCTCTGTACATAAGGAAGCCTATAATATAGTTGGTTGTCATGGTTATGTCACTAAATTGATATAAATGCATACACGCTGGATTCCCATCACCGGCTACGTGGTGTAAGTAGTTATTTAAAATATTGTGTGTGTGTTTTATCGCCTCAGTTGATAGCAAATCCAATACTGTTACAATTCTCTTACATATGCTGTCTGTTTGAATTCGTATGAATCATTGTTGTCAGAATGAATGAGCTTGTTTTCTCTACTTTTTAAGGGGAAAGTTGTTCGGTTATTATCCTTTTATGTGGTCACGTGATTAGTATAAATGTCACACATCTTGAATGCCCACATGTTAACGTTAATTATGAATAATGATCAAAATCTTGTCATTCGATAACCCATGCAGAAATTAATTTGGAATCAAGATAATTTGTTTCTCGTTGTTATGCCCCCTTTCTCTTTTCCGCATGGTATCACTTGACACAGGCTATGTACATTCTAAATATGCGTTGTTGTATACGCTATATTGTTATATATATATATTGCTTATATTATCTGCATCGCTTCAAGTTATATAAAAAAAAACGTGATGGAATTTCAAACACTGGCACAATAAGAAATGTATCGCATGGATAATTGAGATTGTATAGGTTGTTTTGTGTGAATTGGGGTAATTTTCATATATTTCCATTCAATTCTTCCCACAATCACTACATAATACGGAATATTCTTGTTATATAGTATCACTTAAAAACATTCGTGAGCGTGCAACGTTTAGATTGTTTACTGACTACACTTTGAATTACGCTCTGTTGGTTTTTAAAGAAAACGTAAATCAAAATAAATGAATGATACAATGATTTAGAGAAAATATATGTCTTTTCATTAAATTAATTTAATTTTTATCGGTTTAATTTAAAGTAATGTGACACAAAATGTCAAACTTCATACAAGATGTTTTGGTCTCGTTAAATTAATTTCAGTTTAAATGACAGGCATTATTAGTTTTAAATGGATTTTCGAACCGAAATTTTAATTTGTCTAGTATTGAATAATTCATGATTCCGTCAGCATTATTGAAACAAATGCATCTTTAATAAGATGATTAATAATTATATTGTTGTTTTTTCACATTATAGCTGTATTTCATTTAGTAACACTAAACAGAATATGACAGTGAATACTCACTGCAGCGAACAAGACATAGATTATCTTAGTTAAAAATTAACAAGATAATAGCCATGAATTTGTTATTTTCTGAAAGTGTGTTATCCAGGAAATATGCTGCAATTTATTTTTTTTAGATTATTGGATCTGCGAAATTTCATTGACTTGGTTCCATAAATTACATTACATTAGACCATAATTTCTAAACCTGGACAGATACGAATCTAACAGAAGCATTTATTCGTCTGAGAATCTCCTAGACTCCAAAAGTTCAATGAGATAAACATATCTTGTTATCTGCACGAAGATTCCAATGAATTTGTATATGCTACTTAGACAGTCCGTCGATTACAATGACCTGACATCCCCCTCGACAGATTATTTTGTCATAATAAAATTCTGTACAATACATATAGCAGCAATGTGCAATAAATATATTTGTTATTCGTTTTTTTAGTTAATTCACAGCATGCATACACATACACACAAAATATCTTCATCAGAGTTCGGAACAAATTTGTTCTTACTCATACCAGAATATGTGATGAATTCTCACTTATTCTAATACAAAATAAATGCATCTTGTTTTACTCACACTTAAAAGTACTGAGTTTGAAACTGTAGAAACTAGTAATCTAGTCCTTGTTCGTAGTTGGTTTAATAACAATATGGTACAGTAACTGTATTACGCACTAATGGCTGAGGGGTTGCGATCTTCGTTGCACTGAAACTCGTTCATTTCTGATATTTCTGCTATCTGTAAAGGAACTATTTTTTGTTCGCCCCTCCCATTTATTGTAGATGGTGTATTAAGTGACGTCGTGCGCGTGCTCGTCC